TCCATTGATGTTGAGCACTGACTGATTCCTTGTTCAGAAGCAATTATTATTATAAGCACCTTCCAGGAAAAATGAATAGCTTGCAGTTTGAAGGAACAGATTTATCACTTAAATTTTAACAGAGAGGAAATCATTTCGAGGCAGCTTCCTGACATTGTTTGGTATTCTTCTATGGCTTCCAAAGCAGGTCAAGGCTTTAGTTTATGCCTCAGCCCTCTCCTTTTAAGAGGCAAAAAAAAATCCCCTCATGTAAGAGAGGCGAGCGGGTGGCAGATGAGTGCCGTGGGAGTTCCTGGAAGGGGAAGAGGCAAGAGTAAGTGTCCTCCAAGGAGATGGCTCTACTGGAAGCATCCACAGGACTTGTGTGTGTTGATAAATGCTGGTGTTGAGTGGATAGAGGTGATAGGGATGATGCTGGCAGGGTGGTAGTGTTTTTTCATGTTTTTCATGTACAATTGGGTGGCTGGGATGGTTGAACATTGGTACATTCAACCACATTGGCACCACGAGTGTGAGACTGGCATAATAAAAGTTAAATATATCTGCAGCTCTGTGCTGTCCCGGACTTTCCTGCTATGGATAATCCATCCTATAGGCAGCTGAAAGCCTTATCACAGGGTGTTGGAAGTCCCTGGGTTGGTTTCTGTGGATCATTTCTGGAACCACAATATAATTATTTTTTACACTCCCTCCAACCTCAGTATTTCTGTTGCCGTCTTTGCACAAGGCAGATGGGGTGTCTTGAGGGCTGCCGTGAACGCAGCCCCACCTCACCCTTCCCACCTCCTCAGAAAATAAATCCCACCCTGAACTTTGTGTGCAATAAAACTGAGAGAAACTCCCAGCACCAACTGCAGGCCTAATAACCTGTTTGTTCAGTGCAGGCCTTCTGCAACCATTTGTTTAAGATAAGCAAGGGCGGAGATGTTTCTTGAGGGCACAAAAGTCTCTTGAGGTAAAGCTCATGTGGACTAATCCTGTGATATGGCTGGATCATTTCTTTTCTTTCACTCATCACCCCAGCCTTGGGTTTTTCCACCAGTCCAGTTGCTTTTATCAACCTTTCATTTGTTCTTGGGGTTTCAGTGTTGCTGTTTGGTAGTCAGGCATCTTTGCTTGACCATCACCAGCTGGAAGCCCTTCTGCTGCATGGGGGGTGTCTATGCAGGAGGCTGAATGAGGGGGTATGAGTGAAGACCCCCACTTTGTGGGGTGAAGTTTCACATCTGAAAGTCAGGGTGTATTAGACATGAAGACCATGGGGATGAAGCAATGAACCCCAGCCTCTCATATAGTCTTTGTGAAACACCCATAAATTTGGCCACCCCAGGCTACAGTTGTGCTTGAGATGTGAAGTAGTGGAGGAAGGAAGGTGCAGGTTGGTCCCAAATAGCACCATCAGTTTTATAAAGCAGTTTTTGTCAGATGCTGAAGAAGTCCCTGGAATTTGCTACCTAAGGGTGGTCACAGAAGGACAAGCAGCAGGAAAAACCCCTGCCTCATTTCTGCTTATCTCATTGTGATTCGCCCTGTGATTTACCATCATCAGTAAAAGAGGCAAAGCTGGTGCCTCCCTCCAACTTCTTCAGTTGATGCTGCTGCAGAGGAGGCATGAGAAAAATGAGAGCAAAAGCTCCTGCTCATAGCAGGGTAGCTCTAAAACCAACCATGTCCTTCTTCTGGTCCTGCCCCTCTTCCTCATGTCCCTCCCAGACCAGTACCCCTCAGGTTACTGGGTTGAGATGTGGAGTGGGATGGCTCAGGAGAGGGATTTTGCTGGAGTGGAGCAAGTATTGGTGGGAGGAGAGGTGGAGGCTCTTGGGGTACTGCAGATTGCCAACAAGATCTTGAAAGCTTTTTATTTGTTCTTTCATTAAACTTTGATGTAAATGGGTCTGGGGTAGTGGAGAGGCCGCTGCTGGCTTTCTGGATTCCCATCAGCAGGTGGACAAAGTTGAGGGTTGGGCAGACACCTTCATTAGGAAGGTAAAGCACAAAAAAAGTGCAATGTGAGCATCAAACCTGCCCCCCTCTGCTGTCTGTTTGCAGCAATTTTGGTAGATGACAGATTTCCCTTGGCATATGGTAGCAGGCCATATGACAATCACCTAAACTTGCCAGACATCACCTTCCCTTCTCTCAGAGCTGCTTTCCACAAAACATCTAAAAATGAATATGTACATCACAGCATAGCTGATCTCTAGGAGACTGGCCTGGAGAGCAATCCAGTCCTGAACATCCTTTCTTTTCCAGAGCTATTGGTCTTTCTTGTTAGAGCGTGCATGTTTATGATTTAAACTTGACGTACATCAGAAGTCCCATGGGCTTCTCAGGTTCTGCTCCAAGCTTCCCACCATGTAAACCGCAGTGTTTAGTTCCAAAATTGAAAATGACCCCTATTAGTGATCCTTCCTGAGACCATGGGCTCCTTGTTCTTTGCTTTTCCCACACCTCTCACTTCTACAACCAGCAGCACTGAAATGTTAGTTATGTTCTCCTCCAGCCAGCTGTGAATAAGTATCAAAATAAAACCAAAAGGAGGGAGACTAAGTGTGATTTTGCTGCCCACTGAGAAGTTGCAAACCTGCCTATGAGAACCAGGAGTGCCTGGCCTTGATGGTGTCTTCTGGCCCAAGCAGGAGCAAAACCCATCCTTCTTGTGTAGATCTTTTTGTAGACTCATTGTGGAGCAGAGGGTAGTCTTCTGCCTTGCGAGACATTTCCCTTTGTCTCTGTTCATGGATTTCACCTTCATAAAGAGTGTGTCCACTGAAAAATGGAAGAGCTGGATTTCAGGTCCACATTGTCCTCAATGAGCCATCTCTACTGAAGGCACCATTGCTGTCCTGCCTGACCTGTGGCAAGAAGCAGCCTCCAGACAAGCCCAAGAGCCATGTGTTCAAGGCATTCACTGTGCTCTTGGGACTCTGGCCCATCCCCATCCACTTAGCACCCTTGGTTTTCTCCAGCGACTCCACCCTTCTTACAAGTTGCTGATACTTCCTTTTACATCAGCAGCTTGCTGCACAAAAAAAAAGTTGACTTTTCTTCTCTTCCAAATTTAGCTCTGGTTAGGCACCGAAATAGACAAGAGTAGGGATCGGTGACTGTTTTTTTCCAAAACATTGTCTCATGACGAGGACTAAGGAAAGGAACTGCTCAGCTGGAGAAGGAAGGTGCTTGGTTTTCCTAATGGGGACATGAAATTCTCCTCTGTTCAGACACAGGCAGTGTCCAGGAGTGCTCCTTGGATTAGGAGCCTTATTCTCATATTATTAATCCATCTCTCACCCCAATGCTGTCCGCTGCTGGTGGGCAGAGGTCTGAGGAAGCACCGTGATGCTCTGCAAGGAGGACATGCAGCGATGCACCACCATACGTATGGTTTCTAGTTGGAAAGAGTAGAAAGGCAGCTCCTGAGACTTTAATGAAGGCTTCGCAATGAGGAAATATGTGCTTTAGGTCATCGTGTTCTGCTGAGATAGTTTCATTTTTCCAGGGTAATTGTATTTGCACATGTGTCTGCAATGCAGATTAAATTCTTCAAAATACCCCAAGCTCTAGCATGCTGTGGTAGTACAACATTTGGAAACAGTCTCACTGACTATTGTACTACTTTTAGCCTGATTTCCTAAACTTGCATGGCTGATGTGATTGGGTTGTGTGTATCTGCTCCCTCCCTTCCTTTTCCCATTTGCTTTGGTATTTATTGGCTATTCAAGCAAATTTTCAGAGGAACAGAGATCTGGGAGATATTAAGCTCCTCCTACACATTCAGTGAAAAAAAAAAGTGATTGGGAAAATGTGATGAGGTAGACTCAAACCACAGCCCTCAGTAATGAAGAAGGTTCAGTATGATTTTAAGCTATTAGACATCAAAGATTCCACACAGAATTAACCATGAGATGTTTGGTTGCAGGAAAAGTCCAAGTCAGACCTGTGTAGCTAGGTGATAACCCAACCACAACCCTAGGACAGCAGGCTGCCAGCTTCCCCTGCTCCCAAGCTGCTACTTCTTAGTCACAGATAGGCTGTGATTGAGTGGTGAGATGAGATGAGATCTAGGAAGCATGAGGAGAAGTCTTGCTGGTGCTGGGTGCAGGTACATGAGCAGAGGACTGCAGAACAAATTGCATCACTGAGCAGATTCTTGTGTGGGATGAGCAGATCTGCAGGAAGGCTAAGGGAAATTCATGTAGCAATGGCCTCTGTACCATTGCTGTGAGGGATCATGTAGGATGCTGAGGCTGGTGTGGTACCTCTAGGTGTTAAGAGTGGTTTTTGTGTGAGAGAAGGATAATTTGGTTGCTGAGGGCAGGTGCTGCTCTTGAACATGCTTTCTAAAACCGTATGGTCACAGCACATCTGATTTTCTCTGAAAGAGTTAAAAGTGAAGAAGAAAGTTAAAAGAGAAACTACCTTCTCAGGAAGCACACTTCAAAGCTGCAGCCAAAGCAAGGTTCAAATGAGGACATGCTAGCCAGCAGCAGGACTTACTTACCCACAGGCTTAGTGAGTTCTTCATTGCTTGAGGTCTCAAACAGCGAAGGTCTCCAAAGAAGGTTCCAGCTGCTGTGAGATCTGTGGGGTTGCTGCAGCAGCAGTTTCTCTGGGCTCTTTGCAGATGGACAAGCTGGATAGTCAGAATAAACCCTGCCGGTCTTGGACCTGGGGGATGCCTTTTTGGTCTGCAAGCCTAAATTCATTACCATCCCCAGCAGCCTTTCTTCTCCTCCGTTACATCTTCCACCAGAGGAACTCAAAATATTATTATCTCAGTAACCACTGCTAAAATTAACTGTCATTTTAAAGGTTCTCCACACAGAGAAAAAGGAACTTTTTGTGTGTTTCAGTGTATTTATGTTGTCATGCCAATGTGACAAAGCTGCTGCTCAGTGAAACATGTTCCCACCCAGCCCTTTGCCCAGGCTGCTCCCTCGTGGCCCCTCGTGCGTGGTGATTCACTGACAGCGTCTGGAGCTTGGAGGCTAAGATAGATCATGATGGAAATAAAAGGAGCAACTTTTACAGAGCTTTTATTACCAGCCTGGGAAGTACAATACTGCATAAATAAAAATCATTATGGTTATGACAGCTCTGTAGTCCCTGGAAAATAAATAATACTTTGCACTTACATAGTGCCTTTCATCCAGGAACATCAGAGCTCTTTACTCATATAAATGAAGCCTCACGATGACCATAGTAGGGTGGTAAATGCAGCATCCACCTTATCAGATGAACTTACCAAGTCAGGAGTCAGCACCTTCAGTGGAGAGAGGACAAGACAGCAGCTTTAGTTACACACAGCTCTTCCACTGACCTAAGCTAGGCAAATCATTTAACATCCTTGTCATCTCAGTTGTTTCCAGTAGATGCCACCCATCCCTTCCCCAGGGGTGGCACAGGTTGACTAGCTCAGGATGGGCAGGCACAGCAAGGTGCCCATGAGACAGTTGTTGACTTGCTAAAGCCCCAATAGACCAACCAGCTGTGCCTCATGTTTACTTACTCTAATATCCTCAAAATGCTGCTGAGCATCGTCCTCATACAGACATTTGTGAGGGTGGTCAGACAGTGTCCCAGGTTGCCCAGAGAAGCTGTGGCTGCTCCTCCCTGGAAGTGTTGAAGGCCAGGCTGGATGAGGCTTTGAGCAACCTGGTCTAGTGGAAGGTGTCCCTGCTGCTGGCAGGGGGGTTGGAACTGGATGATCTTTAAGGTCCCTTCCAACCCAAACCATTCTATGATTCTGTGATTTTTACAGCTGGGTTTTAGATACATAAATAAGTACGAAGGAAACAACCCAATGAAAGTGGGTGTTTTAGGTACAGCAGTGTCATATGTGACATGGCTGAATTCCCTGTAGGTGGTGTGTATTGAGATCCACCAATATTTGCCCCATGTGGTTTCTTCCATACAGAAATCTCAGATAACTCCATTCCCTGCTCATTGCACCAGCCCTGAGAGGATACCACAAGTCTATGGATTTCCAGATCTGCTTCGTTGAGGTCTGAGTTGTTGCAAGGATGTTTGGATGGGAACTCTTTCTTTTATCAGGCTCACACTCTGAGCATACAGCTCTGTCTCGCTCTGCCCACTTCCATACCAGTGTCTCCCGTATCTTGGAGCTGATCCTTGCTTTTCCCTCTGTTTTACAGGGTTACCATCCGTTGCCTCATGAAGCTGAAATCGCACACACCAAAAAGCTGTTCAGAAGGAGGAGAAACGACCGGAGGTAGGTGAAACCTCATTAATGTTTTTTTTTTAATCTTCTCCATTGCACATCTCCCCTCCCTCCACCACCATCTCATGGAATTTTCTTTGGATAACACTGCTGTTTAGTAACTACCACTGTTGGGTTAATGCATAAACCTTTATTTGATCAGTAACTTCCTGAAAATGCAGAGTCTGTCCGTCCCCCTGGTTTGTCTTTTAAATCTGGAGTATGTCCTATATTGCTCCAGGAGTATCTTAAGGATCTCTTTTTCTTCTTATACTTATTCTAGCATAGCCAGATCCTCCCACTTGTATTAGAAGAGGCAGCTGGCAAAGTATTGTCTGTAAAAGCTTTTGAGTCCTTGTGACTTGCTTCCTCTCTTTCTACTGAAAAGCAAAATTTGCTGACTTTCAGGGTCACCTGCAAAGTGGGTATGATTGAGAGGGGTTTACAACAAACCTCAGATGCCTGTCTGCACGAATGTGCTAAATAGACAGCTGAGTTCCTCTGGTGATTTCAATCCATTGAATTAATTTAATTGGGTCAATTGGATATTTAATTGTGTAGATAGCATATTTAATTATATGAGGGCATCTAGAGTCCTTCATAGGAATAGTGACTATGGTTAAATGCAAAAATAAGCAGGGAATGAAGGAGTTGGTTGTACATGCAACTTCATTTCTGCCAGCCTGTTCTGCCGTGGCTGAGACGACACAGCTGGGACAATAAAGCTTTACTAAAACCAGGAGTTTACAAGGTTAATCTTATTGAACAGGAGAAAAAGTGGCCAATATTTTCTCCTAGAGTGATCTGACATCTGTGTCTTGAGCTGTGATGCCTCACAGGGGAATTTTTGGCAGAATCCTACAGACACCTGTAGTAGTAGTTGGAGTGTGTCCTCAAATCTCCCCGTCACTTCTCAACTCGTGAACAGCCATGATACAGTTAACTCTGTGCTTGGTTTGGTTGCCTTGAATTTTACCAAGCAAGCAAAAAACAGCTGAAAAGAGTTTGCTCAAGCATCCTAGAAACATTCTTCTGTGGGTAGGGCAGTTTGTCGGCAGCAAACTGTTTTCTCTTCTCTTTGGGGCTTCCTCCTTGTTTCCCGTACGCAATTTAAAATGCAATTTAGTCTTGTGATTTAGGGAAAAAAAAATAAATCTTGTCATAGCTCTATGATCACCATAACATGGTTAAAACCAAGCTGAAATCTGCTTGTGTTTGAAGAGAAATTTGGGTGGGCTTCTTTGCAGCACTGGATTAGGCTCCCCAAGAAATCACATTGGAGGTTGGTGCAACCTGCTCCCATCCTGGCTTACTGAGTGGGTGTTCCTCCTCCATCCAAAGCGTGCATGATGCTGCAGGAGACCTGCAGAGCCATGAGGTCTCCTGCCTGAAGCTGCACTGGACCAGAGCCATGGAACTGCTTGTTGGTTCTTCCCTCTCATCCAAAAAAAACAGCCAATCTGAGGGATCACACCAGACCTATATTTCTGTTTCTTTTTCTTTCTGGTCCCTTCAGATAAACCATCAGCAAACAGAATCATTCAGCCCTCCAGGGCATCCCTGTCTCCTGCACAGATGGCAAGGAGAGATAGCAGAAAACACTGCCTTGGGCTGGGGTTGGAAGATCATAGGATGAGATAAAGCCCAGACCAAGTAGATAATATCCCAGGAGAAGAGACAGAAGCCTTAAAACCCAGGTGATATGGCATCATGCCTGAGGAGACACTGAACTGTTTCAGTCATAAGCAGTCACGTATTAAATAAAATGGAAAGAACAGAGGGGATGCAAGTCCTGCCTGAATCCTGCAGGGACATCTATGATGGTGTCCAAGCTTAGACAGAAAAAAACTAGTTATTTTAATTGCAAAAAGCTACGAAGCACAGGTTGATGGAGTGGAGTGAAACAACAGTCTCTTAAATAATTGTTTAAGCTGAAAAGGCATGGTCCTGTCTGCTAGACATTGTTAGGGGACCTCAGCAGTTCCCCTCTCCCCATGCCACGTGGTTTAATGCTGCGGATTTTCAGGGTCCCCTTGCCTCTGTGGTATGTTTGGGACTAGAAGGGGAGTTTTAATCCTTCTAGTGTGGCTTGAGATGTCCCTAGAGAGCACTCACTCCTTAAAATTGATTTCTAGGAGTAAGTGAGGTTCTCAGAGTGGTTATTTTATGAGAAAAAAATGGCAGAAATAGAGGGGAAAAAAGGGGAAGAAATAAGGAAAAAAAAAAGGAATAGGAAAAATATCCCAGACTGTTTTGGAGCACAAACAGATTACAAAGCTGTTCACACTTTATTGCAATGCTATTATCTTAATGTCCCACACATCATTCTGGGGGTGAAAAGCTTGTTTTGAAGGTGGTGGAGCCACACAGGTGGCCTAAAACTCCCTCAATATGAGATTTTATGGCCAGGAAAACAGTTGGGAGTTATGAGCTTTTTGTTTTAAACCTCACCTGGATACAGAGAGACTCAAACTTGCAGGACTGTGGATGGGGCATTGGAGGCATCAAGGCTTGGGAGAGGCTGAGCAGGGCCTTTGGTGGTGCATGGTTTGGGAGAGGGGTTAGGAAGCAGCTCTGGATGATGGACCCAAGGGAAGAAGAGCTGATTTCTTAGAAAGGGGTTGATAGCAGTCAAGGATGGGAGTAAGGTTGACAGGGAATGGATTTTCAAGAAGGAAAGAGGTTGTCCTGCTCTGTTGGTTAGAAGCAGGTGTGGCCCCGGAGCTCTGGCACAGTTGGGTCTGGTTTTCATCGGGCAACTTTTCCCCTTCTGAAGGTGGTGAGCACTTGGCAGTAAACCACACCCCAGACCCCACAAGCAGTGCCTGTCCGTGGTGTACCAGCTCTTCCTGCCCAGGACCTGCCTTATCCAAGACAGATGACACATCCTAGGTGACCATGGTGGCCATCCTCCTGCCATGTGCAGGAGTCACCGCTCGCATATGGACATCCAGCTTGGGTTGAGGAGTCAACCCCCAGGCTGACCTCTGCACGATGCACAGGTCCATCTGGCGTTGCCTGGTTGTAGCTGATCTTCAGGTTGGCTGGTACTTTATATAGCACAGCTATTATAAAAGAGCTGATAAAACACACTGGTACCCAGAAATCTGATTTTTTTTCCAGCTGGTCTAATAAATTATATCAATTCCCCCCCAGAGTTCATGTGGGTTCCTCTCCCCTCGCTGATGGTGACATTCAGAAGGGGCCATGTCTTGGGATAGATAACGAAGCACCTTTTGTTTCGCATGCGAAACGATGCTGACGTCTGGCCCTGCTATAAATAGCGCCCGTCCCCGCTTCCTTCCCGTCACCTTTCCTCGGGAAATGCTGTCACTGCGTTGTGCGGGAGCACAGCTCACCTACCCTGAGGTCTCTGCTGTGCACCTTTCACTCTCCTGGGGAGAAGCAACCCTATGGGCATGCAACCATAGCTCTCTCCTTGCATCTGCAATATGTTTTTACGTTCCATGAGTCATTTTTCCATGGGACACGTGCTTCACTTGTTGCATCAGATAGATACGAAGAGCGAAATTAGAGGTGTCATTAAAAACAGGCTTTGGCTTTCCCAGTGAAGGACCACTGTGGTTCTGTTGGACACATTTTCAGTAACAGTGATCAACATCAGAGCCACATCTGGTGGAGGGTTTGCTTACACAAGGTGTTGTAAAAGCCTGCAGGAGGTAGTGAGGTCCTTGCTGCAAAGAGTTTATAATCAGAGCAGGAGACCAGGGAGAGGTATTGCCCTCCCCATCTCACCCGGCAGGAATCTCACACCCAGTGTTTTCTCCGTTGGTGTAACTACCACCTCCTGATGAGGGTGATGGAGGACATCACCACTTGATGGGGTCGTTGAAGGAGAGCAACAGAGGCAAGTTTTTTCATAGATGTGCATGTCAGCAAGTGTTAAACAGCAGTGAGGGTTTTATTGTCTCAAACACTAATGTTTGCTGCCACACAAGACCCACCCTACCTAGATATCACCAAAGGCAACTTGGTTTGACCTCCTATAGGCAACCTCTAGGGAAGGGGGACTTTCCCTAGGTGGTGTCAGGACCTCTCCCACCCTTCTCTTCTGCAAGCACTCAAGAGAAAAAAAATACTTTGGGATATGGGGCACAATGGACCCATTTCTCAAACCCTCTCCTCTGACCCTTCCCAACCCAATGCCTCTCTGCGAGTGGAGCAGAAGCTGTGCTAGGATGCAGTCTCCTTAGGCAGGTGGGGCTCTGAATGTAGCCCCTTGTTTTTCAAAAAGTTCCTGAAAAATGCCATTTCTTAAGTATCTATCAAAGCATTGCAGGTGATCTTGGTGCTGTACAGGGTTTCTCCAGTTCCCATGGCATCCTCCTATGATGTGTTTTGGGATGGAGGGTCCAGCTGGCCAAACCCCAGGGCCTGGAGATGTATGCACAGAGGCTTGCACCAGCCTTGTAGGACTGATAAGAAATATTACCCAGTTTAGGTAGGATTTAGAAGGAATATATGGAGTTGCTATAAGTTAAGACAAGTGAGTTTGTACCTACTTCTTAGTCTTCTGGTTAACAGAGTACTGAAATTGTTCTGTGTCACCTAAAGAAGGGGACAGTTTTGATCAGGAGCCAGAAAAGGTTGCTGGGGAAGTCTTAAAAGGTTTGTGCTGTTGTATTCACATTGGTGCAATTACATCTTGTTGGATTCAAAAGTCAAATCAGGCTGAATTCTTTGTCAAAAGGAAATCCTCATGTGTGCATAGATGTTGGCTGGTATCTCATGGGGCTTCTTGTGGTTGGTCTATGGGACAGGAGAGGATTACAAAAGGAAGTGCAGTCCTGTGGCTCAGAGAGAATGGAGTAAAAGCCTTAAGAGATAATCAATCCTCTCTTTCCAAAAGAAATCTGAATTCCTCTTTTCAAGAGAATGGGTGTGGGTCCTCTGTGCTTCCTCTGTGCATGGTTGGTGTGTCTCCAGGCTTTGGGATGACCAGAACCACAAGGGACTGCTCTGTCTGTCCCAGCCAGGGCTGTTGGGGACCA